CCATGTGCTGAAAACACAAAGAATCCTGGAATATCCTGAGTCAGGAGGGATCCACAAGGATGATCCAATTCCAGATTCTGCCCCAACAATCCCAGCCTGGGCATCCCTGGCAGCTCCTGGAGCTCTGTGCCCATTCCCTGGGGAGCCTGGGCAGTGCCCAGCACCCTCTGGGGGAAGAGCCTTGCCCTAAAATCCATCCTAAATCCAGCCCCAGCAGGAGCTCTGCCCTCATGTCCAGTTGAACAAACCCAGTGCCCTCAGCCCCTCCTTGGATGGCTCCTCCAGATGTTCCCCACCTTCATCCCCTCCCTGGGACATCCCTCAAGAATTTTTGGGTGTCTTGACACCCAAAACTGTCCCAAGCCTCGAGGTACAAGAGCAGATTTTGGGAGAAGGGCACAGAGATCTCCCTCAGGCTCCTCAATCCCATTTTTTTTTCTGGTCCAGGATAATTTTCCTGCTCATTTCTGAGCTTTGTCACCTCTGCAGTGACTCCAAGCAGGACAAGGTTCGTACAAAGAGCAGAGGAATTGCTCAGACAGGAACATTTCACCACCAACATCTCGAGGCACTGACAGGTCCCCATCCCTCAGGACCTGCAGCTTCAAGGTCAAGTTTGTGTAAACCAGGGCGACCTGGCAGCACCAAATTCAATTTACACCCTCTAGATGCTTGACTGCTCCGATTTGGAGCTTTGCTCGTGCCCAAGAAAAGAATTCCACTGGGGCTCCACACCTCCCTGCAGCTCTGCCTTCACCAAACCTTGCTGCCACAAGCAGACTCGTGGTTTGTGTTTCTTTTTCTTTTCCACAGAAACGAGCTGGGCTATTTTAATCTCTCACTTCCTCCTTTGGACTAATGCTGCACTGTGAACTCATAAATTTCACGTGGTTCTGCCTGGGCTTTATTTTAACTTCTGGAACCCCTTTTTTTTTTTTTTTCTTTTTTTTTTTCCTTCCCTGATTTTTCTCTGCAGCTGCAGGGAGATATAGTGAGCTACTGTGGAGCATTCTGAAAGCAGGGCCTCTGAGAAGTTTCCAAAGTGGATACAAGCAGGTTATTCTTTGCCTTGTTTTCCTTGGCTCAGCCCGAGCAGCACAGGGTGAGTCAAACTGGATTAACTTTCAAGAGGGAAGTGGTGTGGTCAACCCAAAGTGTTTGTGGTGAGATTGGGGGAGATACGTGGGGCAGGTAATGAGGAACAGCCCCTGGTGCTGGCTGGAGGGAGGAATCACACAAACAGAATCTTTAATAATTAAATC